AAACTAGTCCTTTGTTTGTTTTTGATTTCTACACTGCAACCTGTACTGTCGTTAGTGAAACACTTAAGCAGAACTGTAAATTAGCCCTTACCGACATCAGCTAGTGCAGCTAAATTGAGAATCGACTCGTGTTCAAAAATACTTCGTTGACTGTACACCAAATAGACCATTCGCCACCGTAGCAGGTCTATGTCATTCTGCCTCCTCTTTGTCCCTCTTCAGACGTACTCTGAAAAATTGGAAAAACTAGCCGACAACTGGGCGTCGCGCTGTAGATATGATTATCCTGATACGGAACCAGGATACGAGAACACTGGAATGTATAAAATTGTCTCAGTCGACCGAAAACCCACTTTTGAGGAGGTGGGTCAGACTGCGATGGAGGCATCAAGCAAGAACGATAAATATGGGACCAATGACTGGAAATATAGACCAGTAAGTGACCGCGATCAATAATTTTGCCCTTATAGATAATTTAATGCAACCATTTCAAGTAGTAATACTCGAATGAATTAAATTAGGTCCTCGAGAGCTAGTGAGAATGCATCTACTCAAAATCTTAGTAGTCAAAGTGTGGTCAGATTGAGTTGTTGATAACCCCTTAATTTTTGCGATTATTTTTTTTTAGTTCCTTCGAGCAGTATCGACTGAAGTAGGATGTGCACAAGCCAAATGTCGTAATTTGGAAACTTCGAACGATTTGTATTTCTTGAATTGTGTTTTCAATAATGCGTAAGTCAAAACTACCTGATCAATGTCTGTCATTCTTTATCGTACTTTAATAAATTTAATTCGACACCAGTACAACTGGATTGCAATAGTTTTGATATCAGTTAGTTTTGTTCTTATAAACGATGTTACCTTTGTGCAAAGTGACCAATATCATGATGGAACACAATATGAACCTGGAGCGATATGCAGCAAGTGCCCTGCGGATTCCAAGTGCCACCGCAATCAATGCACCAAAATGCTGCCCTCTGCACCCCAGGACCAACTGATGCCAACTGCCACTACTTCCGCTTCCACAATAATCAATGCAATGGCCACTCTTCAAGCTGCAATACTTTCATTTTCCTACTTCTTCTAATGTTCCCTCATCATCTCTGATTCTACTTTCTGCCTAACAACCCGATTGGTTATGATTACATGTTGAATGCATAAGCGTATAGCAGCCTTGCGAATCTTACTTGGGTATTGCCAGAATATTCCTACAACGGAGAAATTATCCAAAATGGACAACACAAAAGCTGCATTTTTAAAGTCAACAATGTGCCACCACGATCCAATTTGATCTGCAGACAGTTTCACAACCAGCCATGACTCAAAATTCTACTTACGTCTGTTCCTGCTGTTGTACTTGTTGGAAATCGCCCAGGCTGATATTTAGTTTGCAAGTAGTAGGTACAAAAACTGGTAGCTACTAAATCTGAATGTGGTGTCAATTGAAATGGGTTTGCTGAAAATAGTGTATTTCTACTACTAAAGAGACACCATTTGTGCGTGTCTAGAGATTACACACAGACAGTGAAATCTACCAATGTGTAGACTGTGGTCACCCACGAAAGCAAACTCCAAAGTAAGGACAAGTCTCTGTAAGAAGAGAGTGGCGAAATTTGTGACTCAGAAGCATGCGCAATCAGGAGTTGACTGTTGCCTATCATGGCATCGTTAATGCATCGAATTCTGCTAAGGCGTTAGGCTCACAGATGTCTGTTCTCGCATCCCTTCTTCGCCTTCTACGAAATTGTGCCCCTAAAGCCGGCATTATGAGTTAAAGCAGTTGAATTGGATTCCCAAAGCCACAGAGAGAACTAATTTTAGTTCCTTCACACTTTCATAATTGATTCATATCATTCATGTTTAAGCAGTCAGGAAACAAATTATTTATTTTTAAAGTCGACTAGTGCAAATAACTCCCGCCTACCTTCAGTTACATTCGCTTCCTGCAAAATGTTGACATTGCATTACGTCTGTTTCTGTGACACATGGCATTTGGGTGCTTAGATTGCAAGCTAACCAAAACGCCATCTCAGCGCTGACAAAACAGCGAGGTATTCCGATGGCGTACATACTGCAAAATCTGATCACCGTCAATGATTCCTCAGGATCTGGTCATATGCCACAATTATGCACCTTCCCGAATTACGATTTGTGCTTTTCCCAACTAAAACACAAATAACAGTGCCTTACGTTCCAGGTGTTTTGAACGTAAATGGTACATTGCTTGATGGCTGTGGGTCAAGGTTATTCGTCCACTTAACATTACGCTCGGTCTCTTAAGCATTCATCTGTCAAAATAATCTTGGTTTGGTCTGATGTCAAAAACTGGAGTGCGTAGGAGTGCTCGTCGATTGGATTAACTGCACAGTGGGTTCATTGGTATTTTTCTCGTGCGCCGTTTTTGTGCTGACGACGTTGATTGACTCCAACTGTCACCAAGACAACTCGCTAGTTTGCGCTTAGCTTGTAGGTCAAAACGAGATATTGAAATGCTGCTATAATGAAAACAACTTTGTATACAAGCCTACTCTCAATTGCTAAAAGAAACACAATTGGCACCACAAACAGAAATCTTTGGCTAGTATTTCATGGTGACTTCAAACTGTAGTCATGTTCCACCTTTCATTTCTAAAATTGACGAAATTCACACAGTTGGAAGTGGTTGCAATCCATCAGCATCAATCCTGACCAGGACGGCACGATTATCTTAGCCACTTTTCATTTCTAAAATGGAGATTTTTCAGTTTTTATAAAACGAATTAACGATAAGTAGATGGGTTAAGCAAGTAAGGAGCGAGGTTCTAAATGGTCTTCTTGCTCTATGACCGGGATGATGGATCGGTCTAGTTAAAATACGAGCATCTTTTCAGCCCTGCCCTAAGAGTGTGAGTTAAATATGACCAAAACCGTTGTATTTTGAATGCCACCCATCTCACAAAATCAAGACCACACGCACTACCAATTCGGCTGTTTCTTTCCTTGTTGGATTAGACCAATGAAACTGGTCACAGTTTCGTTAAATCATAAGTAAAGTGTTTGATAAAGATGATGGCTCGAGGGTAAGTTAATGTGCTCGGTATTAAAGGGTGTAATGGTGTTGCGAAATGTCCTTGTTGTATGCTGCTGGTGACCACAAAATGCGACACTGTGTGCCATTTCTGTCTCGACTCTGGTCACTTACCTAATGAGAAACCAGAATTGGGACCTTTTGCCTTGCCACCTAATCACAAGGGAGTAAGTTACATTCTTAACCAATTGTGCCTGAATTGGAAGTCAATAATGGTAAATATGTGGTTTGTAAAAGATTAACATTTGCTGTTTAATAATTAATCGATATTCGTGCTCGAGATCAGAGATCTGTGACGTGTTCCTGCTGTGACGAATGGCTACTGGTTAATCCACCATGCGGCTTTTAAGTATTTCAAATTGAATTCATCTCGGTCACTTTCTCATGTCAATGCGAGACACATTCTAAGCCAGAGAATGCTAATGTGAGCATTTAGACAGGCGACCATGATCAATGTCACGGGAATGTGATATTTGCTCTTCCTGCCTAGGATGCAATTCAATTAATGCTTGTGCCTCTTTGCTCATCGATCATTAAAATGTTTCTGGCTATTAATCAAGCGTGGGTTGGAATGCTTAGCCATCTCTAATTCATGTTTGCCATAAACAAATTGAGCACGTTCGCCACGGGAAGCATCTTTGCTTGCCAAAATAAGACGACAACAAATGTGCAGACAACTACCTCCCACACTCATACGATTGCTTATATCCCTGTTCCCATATGCAATCATCTGGCCTCTATGTCAATTATATGTTTATTAATTAACACAAACTGAATTTTGTCTCAGCATCATTTTAATCAGTCCATCCGAAGTGCTCATGGCCTCTTATTAAGATTTTTCGATATTTTGTTATTTTTCGATATTTTGTTACTTTTAAATCGTTTAATAAGTATTGTGGTGCACTGGTTGCGATATCAGTTAACGTTGATAAATACCGACGTATTCTTGAGAACTCACACGAAATTCAGTAATTCCTATTACTGAGATGCCGTGCTTTTTGCATCCTACCTTTAGCCATTTAAAACAGTTGCGCTGTAAAATATGATAACTCTGATACGGAAACGTAACGTAGAGGGACTGTGATGTTTAAAAAAAGGCCACTTGGGCCGTCAACTGTGTTTTGAGGGGGATGCCACCAAAACAACAACAAAAATACTGTTTTTGCAAGAGAAACAATCTCTGGGCGTGCAGCCTGCTAAGTGGACACCTTGTTATATCATTTTAAGTGTAAAGATCATCTGCATGCGTTTTCCCCACCAAAATGACAATTCTACTCGTGACGATAAGTAGTGAGGAAAAGAGTTCCAAATTTGTGTCTGAAAACGTAATTATGCGATCACTTTTTAGGATAGTGTCTGAATCCGGCAAATTAAGCAAAATGTTTTTTTCGCAAATAGTCAAGCGTGGGTTGAAATGCTCAACCATCTCAAATTCATACTTATTATAACTTAATTGAGCACTCTCACCACGTGACACAACCCCGCTTGCAAAAATATAACGAAAACAAATATGCAGATAATTAACTTCCACACTCATACGATTGTTTCTATCCGTGCACCCTGGTGCATGATCTCTGCACTACTCATTCCCCTCGTCTGGCAATTCAGCTATATGTATGGTTACTGGCTAACACAAACTCAATTGTGTCTCAACCTCCGCTAGTCAGTCCATCCGAAGGGGTTCCAGACCACATGACGGGACCCGCAACTGACCACTTGCTGCAACCGAGCACACGTGCATGCACTCCTAATTTCAATCGGTTAACCACAATCATACATTCAAAATTGACCAGGTGTATTTTAGAAGGGCCACAGGCTGCATTGCCCAATAGCATTTTAAACTTGTCGATTAACTCTGAAACCCGGTTGCAAAGACGACGAAGACTTCGAGTTGAAGCAGAAGGTGCCGACTGCATTGTCACTTGCACTAAAACTGTTTAAATACTCACACCGTCTATTGTGACCACATGCCACACAGTACGCTGACATCGATCTTGTCACTGCTGACATCTGTGATGGAAACAGCGCCTCTAGCGTCGACTGTGCCTGCAGCTGCATTGGAAATCCTTTGGCGCATAGTTTGCTATCAACTGGGTCAGGCTCGAAATTGCACACAGTGAGCTTGTGGTGTCATGCCTAAGCACAAATTCTCTGTCCCATACCTTCGATAATTTAAATTTATGTTCTATTTGTGTCAGTCTAGAAGGGGCTAGAGAGTGAACTTAAATCGTTGTTCTGCATAAAGTTGAGTTGGGATTCATATGCTGCCATGTCCAATTGAAAGGCGTTGATTTGGCGCTTGCGTCTGCGCACCTTCCATTTTTTTCTATTAGCAACGTGAGCACATTTCCGCTGGCATTACTCTTGAGTTATAATCATGCATGCCAGAATATTTTGGCAAGACTGGCCACGTATCGAAGTTAGGAAAATATTGTGACGTGTTCAGTAATTTGGTTTCTGCAAAATCATATATAAGTGGGAAGAGACTGCTTCAGAAGCGCCACCATCTTGCAAGTAATATCCCACGACGCGTACACGCCTTAGTTGACACTGCCAACCATTTAGCACCGGCATCTCACTCGAACGTATTAGCTCTGAAAAAAAGGCCACTTATCGTGTACCAAAACTTCGGCCCATTGACCTGAAAGCCTTTCAATTACGCACTCCAACTTACTACAAATTTGTGCTCATTTTTTTGTCGCAGAGATTATTTCTGTGTATCTTCAATTCTGTGCAAATGGCAGCATGGTTTAAGGAGGGCATATTTCACCCAAGTATTTAGTGACGTAAAGGGTCAGACAGGAAAACCCGTCCACCCTCAAGTCACAAAGTGCACCTACAATGTGCAGTGACTTCGTCTTGCGTTTTGCCTGTCTCACGTACAATGAATTTATGTGCCCTTTCACACAGTTGACGACTGAGTCGAGGCATTTTTGTAGCGTGAAAAATGCTATTCTGCAAAGAGATATCTGTGGGTTGGGATACTAACTCTCCCGACTGAAAACAGTGCATGTTGACTT